CTCGGAATTTCTTTATGGCTAAGATTGCGGCCAAGCATTCGAGCTCCGTAACACTGTAGTTTGATTGAGCTTTATTTAACTTTTTCGAGAAGTAAGCTATAGGCACTTCTTCACCCTTTTCTTTAACTTGAGCTAACACGGCTCCTACACCTAATTTGCTGGCATCACATTGAATCAGGAATGGCTTTTTGTAATCAGGGTTTGCCAACACTGGGGCACTTGCCAATTTTTTCTTCAACGCATCAAAAGCATATTGGGCCTCTTCATTCCATTGGAATTTACCTTCCTTAAGCAAGTTTGTTTGTGGTACAGTTAAAGCAGCGAAATTGTCGACTAATCGTCGGTACCACCCTACCATGCCTAAAAAGCGCCTTAGCTGTTTTACCGTCGTAGGTGCTGGGAAATTCAACATCGAAGAAACCTTGTCGGTATCAGTGCAGAGAGTACCGTTTCCTACAACAAAACCTAAGTATTTTACCTCACATATACAGAATTTGCTTTTTTTCACATTTATGGTAAGACCAGCTTTTCGCAGTTGGTAGGCCACTTGGGTTAGAACAGACATATGCCTTTCGAAATTGTTAGAAATTATAAGTAAATCGTTAAGATAAACGAATACTTCGTCTTTTAAATTGGCTGGAACTACCTGGTCCATAAGTCGACATAAGGCCTGTGGAGCATTGCAAAGTCCAAATGGCATTACACGATATCTATACAAAGGCCTGTTCGGAACTGTGAAACATGTTAAATCGCGGGAATTTTCTGCTAACGGGATTTGCCAAAACGCACGACGTAAATCAAGGGATGAAATGTATTCGGCTTTCGGTAATCGACTTAATATTCCATCGATATGGGGCAAAGGATATGCGTCCTTTACTGTCACGCTGTTGACTTTCCTTGCGTCAAGGCATAGTCTAACTTTTGTTGGTTTTCGCACTAAAACAATAGGGCTTGCCCACGGACTATTAGGGGCTTCCTCAATCACGCCTAACTTCAACATCTCATCGATTTCCTTGTGCACCAATTTGTCTATTGCAGGTGATATAGGGAAATATCTTTGTGTTATTGGTTTCACGTTCGGTTCTAACTCAATGGAATGTTCAATAAGGGCCGTTTTGCCCAGTCCCTCCTTTTCATATGCAGGAAACAAATTAATAACACTTTTCAACTTGGATTTTTGCTTCTTATTAAGTACATGCCTATTGATGTCTTCCATTACCATTTCAGATTCGTTAATGTCAATTTGCGCTATAATGTGAGGTGAAATTTTGAACTTCCTCCAAAAATCAATGCCTAGAATTAGATCTTGGTGTAAACTTGGTACGACATAGAAAGTAATGGGATTGGTTTCTGACTTAAATGTTACTGGAAAAGAGGTTGTACCATACACTATTTGTTGCATGCGTAGAAAACTCGCTTTCCTTGCATACTTCTTTAGCGAAGTTGCCCCTATGCACGATACTTGTGCGCCACTATCTAGTAATCCCAAACGTTTTTTGTTCGCTATTACAACTTCTGCATATGGTCGTAAGTCATTTTCTTTACTGGTAACAGCAAATTATTGAACTGATATGCTTTCGATTTATTTTAACCTCCTTCCAAAAGTTTCTCATACGCTGCATAGACCTGGCCCTCCTGGAGTTGTGCTGTTGCACGTTCGCCCCGATTATATCGCTTCGTTTTTCAACGTAGATTTTTAAGCGTTCTTTATACGGAGTTATTTTAAACAGTTTTAACGCGTGTTCATCTTCCTCACCTTTAGAAAAGTCCGGTAAATCTTTTGTCTCAGATATTGCAGTTAGTGGTTTAGGGTTTGGTCTTTGCGAAGGTTCGTTGTCTCCAGGATCCTGAGGGCTGACCGTCTGGTACGATAGTACATTTCTGATGCACTAATGTGCTTCTGGGGATGGCTACTGCCCATTGCTACATTAGTGCCAGAATGGCGCACCTCAGAGGCCGCTGGCTTAGCCATGCGGTCTGATGGCGCCGACGCCGCTTTAGGGGTTGCATCTGTCGATGCTCCCTTGCCTCCTGGAGTGGCGGGTCGGCAGCAGGGCTAGCTTGTCTTCTGACAGGGCTGCCCTTGCCTCCCGAAGGACTACCTGCGCCGGACGGGTTTATATCCTCGCTAGCTTGTCTGGGGACATGGCTAGACCGGTTGCCGGAAGGGGGCCTCGATGCCGTTGAGGCAGTCCCAGAGGGGACGGAGCGTATGCCCTGCCCTGGCTTGGCCACAGGCTTTGCACCGCTGGCTTGCTTGGTCTTGTCCGAAGACAGACCGGACCTTCCTGAATGGGTGGGTCTAATTTTTTTGGGGGGTTCTCGGTTATCCGCGCGAACGCGGACCGCCGCGACGCTGGGCACTTTCAAAATTGTATATTACAAATCCGTCCATTTAACTTGTTCAGGTACTACTTTTTGTCAAATGTAACTGTAAAGTGACTACCTACATATGTGCACTATTTTGCTTTATTACTCAATTGTTAAGTTTAAAAGTTGGTCTTATTGCTCAACGAGAAATGAAATAAAACAAATTTGTGTTATTTCACATTCAATTGGTTATAGCTTATAGATGACTTTAGTTGGTTATAGCTTTTTTAATGTTATTGCTAACATTCGCATTCGCATTCGCACATTCGCATTACGAAAATTCGCATTCGACATTCGAAACATCCCTAATATGTACATTAGAGTGGTCCAAAAAAATAAAGTCGGAGTTTTAATGCCGGCACACCCTAGGATTGATCTATATCGAAAAAAATATACCCCTATTTTTTATTTTGAAATCAAAAAATATTTAGGGAGTGCTCTAAGCGCTCAAAGTTTTCCATGTATTTTATAGAAAAAACAATTTTTCGTAGAAATGGTATAAAACTCTTGAAAATCAATATTTTTCGACCAGTATTAATATCCAGTTGTTTATTTAACAATTTTTTATGATTAAAGGTTTTTTATTGGTCCCCCCATTGCATTTTCTAAGGGCTTTGGAGGACCTATAAAATATAGTTACCATGAAAAAATTGTTAAAGAAACAATTGAGTATTATTACTGAGAATCTCCTGAAGATAAGTAAAGTTTACCGATCGAAAAATATTGATTTTCAAGAATACTACACTATTTCTACGAAAAGTTGTTTTTTCTCCATATAAAATACATGGAAGACTTTGAGCGCTTGAGCACTACCTAAATTATTTTTTATTTCAAAATAAAAAAATATGGGAACATTTTTTTTCGGTATATAACAATCCTAGGGGATGGCGGCATTAAAAATCCGACCTTATTTTTTTACATACATTTTTGGACCAGCTTAATAATGTACATATGTGTGTTACCTGCATTATGACAGAGATTCTAATTCATGTTAATATTTTAGAGCAATAAACGAACTAAGCTTGTGCTGGAGGTATTTTGATAAATTGGTAGCGGGCTCAGTGAAATTTTATTTAACTTACCTTATAATATTTGTGAAAAGTGGAATAGAAATATATGTATGTGATTGAATTTTTACTTTATATTTGTTTTGTAAACCACCTCTCTGAATCAATGGCAGAATTTCTTTATTCATTCTGAACGTTTGGAATAAACTTTTCTGTTTATTTATTCTTTAGAACGTTCCTGATGATATGTTGACGTATATTTCAAACGCATTCTGTTTATTCCGGCTGTGAAATGGGATTATCCGGAATGTATAAAGAAACGCAGCCAATATGTTAATAATAAAAGACAGTAATCTTTTTCGTTAGTTCAACTTTTTGAATCAGCCCACAGGTTGAATAAAAATTTGAAAAATCGGTAAAAACATCGATGTTTTCATTCGAAGCATCGAACTACCATCGATGCAATTTTTCGAAACATCGATTCTTCAAATATCGATGTTTTCACCGTAATTTACATCCCTAATTAAAATTGGAGATATGAACGATGGGGTGCATATAATGTGCAAGAAGCACCACCAGTGTACAAAAGGTTTATCTATTTAAACATTTATGAACACGTCAATTTATAAAGCTTTATAAACATACTTTATTTTTTATGAATAAGGCCATTAGTATCTTGTGCTATGAAAATAAGTAAATTCTACATAGTTGCTATTTTGCATAATCCAAAATATTTAAGCAGACAGCCCTTATACCATAAATACCTAAATACTTTCGTACTTATTATTTAATAAGCACAATTATGTCCATCACTGCTAAAAAGTCACGTTCCTCTAAAAGAAACACTTTTAATTCTTTCTGGCCGTCTAATCTCTTACATATGTAAATGTATATGTATTAGGAATGTATTAGTGATCCCGGGACCCCGGCTTTTTTTAAGTCCCAAGAATCCCGGGACTTTCGGGATTTGTAATTTGCACTGATGGCAATAATAGAAACTTCATTTTCTTGACCAGTATTGGCTATATTTCTTTCTTTTATTTAATAATTAATATTTTTCATAAATGTCTAGCTCATTATACATATAACACCGTGCGATAGTAAATTTTACCCACAAACATCAATATAGTATTCGCGATACCATGGGCCAAATAAAGTAAAATTGCTTTTTTAGTTTTTCACTCTGACGTCAGTAACCTAAAACTGATTTAAAAAATTCAGTGAAATGTGCTTAGAGAAGTAGTATGGGTATCAAATTAAAGAGGAAATTCTGTAGAATTTCATCAGATACAATTTTTTGGTACATAAGGACTAGTAAGTATTGAAAATGTTCTTTTAAAATTTTATCCTTGAAATTTCGCAATATTTGCTTTTGAAAAAATTATATATTAAGGACATATATAAACTCGATGAAATCCTCGAATTCCGTCCTTCTAACTTTATCAGCTCAAAAAACTACCCATTCGTCCTTTTGAATCCAAAAAATTTAATTTTTTAAATTCTAAAGAAATTTCCTGTTTCATTTGGTACCCATATTTTTATTCTTCATATTTTCTCGCGGGATGGTAAAAAGCGGAAAAAGTAACATCCCTAATATGTATGTATTTTTGTTTATTCGCGCAGTACCTGTGTGCTAGAACGTGACACGATGTCATTACATCCTACATTTGTGGAATACATAGAAGGCGCTATTCAATATCTATTAGCTGAAACTGATAAGGACAATACCAGTATTCGGGAAGTCAAAGCACATTTTTGTAATTTCATTCGCAAAATGATAAAGAGTTTCTCGCGTAAGTTACCCTATTGGAACCAATTTCATGCTTTATATTCACCAATTTGTATTTTTTGTGTAATCCATTTTAGTAGAGTCATGTGGCACACTTCTAACACGCGAGCTTAAGCGGAGTCTTTTCACTTTATTTGCAACATGGTGTGGATCTTTTTCAAAACCGCTGGGCTTCACTTCACAGATTGGTCAAACACAAGATGAAGAGAAACTGCAGTTTAGTGCTTTACAGGTAATTTTTAATGAAAGTATATAAATATAAGATGCTAACATAACTATACGACACCCATCATTCCCACGACAGCCGGTTCTACGTAACGTAATGACTCTGGTTTTACTCGATCAACGGCTGCTGTTTCGCGGTCTAACCGTTTTTTTGTGTGCTAGAATTCAATAGGCTGTACAGAGCAGGGTTGTTGCGAATATTCGCATTCGCATTCGCAACCGCGGAGCTTCCGCATTAATTTTAATATTCGCATTCGCAATAATCAATGCGGAGCTTTTGAGAGTGCGACTGTAGTGCAAGTGCACTTATAAAACGTATATCTGGCAAACAAAATCACAAATTGTAGCCAATCTAAATATATAATAATAAAATTATAGTTTAAAAAACTAAAACCTCCCTATTATAATTGCCAGTCGTACTGTCATCAGGTATGTAACTTGAGAATAAAAATCTCTGCATCTTATAGGCGCATCAATATTACATAGTTACATCCCTAGTTAATAAAAGGAAGGTAAAAATGAAATGTCTTTCGTATGACCGCGATGCCTGACCAAACGGCTGAACCGATTTCAATTCTGTAAAAAGTACTATTTTGGAACTTCTGTGTGGAAGGTTTTTCGATTTAAAAAAATTTGAAACTTTGTTGCTGTTGCCGAAAAATGAAGAATGCTGAGACCTCACGATTTCACAATTTTATAGAGTTTTCTGTACATTAAATGTCACTAAACTACTAAACGGCTAGCCCGATTTGGTTCATATTTGCAACATGTGTCAGCACTTAGAAAAGAAATGTTCTGACAAAAAATGCACTCGCTAGGTGGCGCTATCGTCGGAATATTCCTAAAAATTGCATTTTCTTGCCAATCTGGCTCATATTTAGAATATTAGCCAATTGAACAGAAATATTTGGGCTTAAAACTTACCTATGGCCGAGATATCCCCAAATATTATTTTACGCTAAGAGAAGGATAGATATCTACTATACATTTGTGGAAGTATGTATGTATGTATCAGGGTGGTTGCGAATATTCGCATTCGCATTCGCAACCGCGGAGCTTCCGCGTTAATTTTAACATTCGCATTCGCAAAAATAAATGCGGATCTTTTGCGAATGCGAATATTGAAGGGACCGAAAATTATAGTTATTTTTTTTTACGAGTTAAACTTGGCCAAATATTTGTTATTCCGAAATAAAAGTACTTTCCGGATAATAAACAAACCGCTTATCCAAATTAAACAAGTTTGGTATCCAATGAAGGAGGACTTAAATTGCTTTAAAGCTGAAATGTCTAAAAGAGGAAAGCCAGACAGTGAAAAATATTTCAATAAAAAATGTTAATTAATTACCATAGAACAAACATTGGGTCAGGTAAGTATTTACATGGATTTCTTTAGTATTAAGTTATAAAAAAATATAAATAGAGGTGGTAACCTTTATTCGTTCATAGATCAAATCAGAGTTCCAAACCTTGTGCAAAATTTAGGAAAATTCTGCAAAATTTCATTAAAATAATTCACTTTCTATTTACGCTCTCTAGAAAAAGTTGAGTTTGCAGTTTTTTAGCCCATTCAATTTTAGTATAATGACAATTTTAGTATAATGAAAGCTAGGACTTACCAAACAACAAAAAAAAATTTCTTAATATCAATGGTAAGTCCTAGCTACCTCAAACTTGCACTTTGTTATACTAAAATTGAATGGGCTAAAAAACTGCGTACTTAACTTTTTTCTAAAGAGTGTAAATTGCAATATTTGGATGGAAATTTGCGGAGTTTTCTTTAATTTTGCATAAGGTTTGGAACTCTGATTTTTGGTGTTTTTGGTGTAGAACTAACCATATTTTTATAAAAAATTAGGGGAAAATAAAATATTTAAAAAATAGTTGCCGGTATTGTAAAAACTTCGCTGTACCTAAACTTTATTGACTGACTGTATATCTTATTTAAGTACGACACAAACTTTCGAAGTACTTCATATACATATAAGCTTAAAAAGAACTGAATTTACTTAAAAATCAATATGCTTAAATTTAGACAAGTAAGACAAAGTGAACTAATATTTTTACTTTTAAGCAGAACGCACTTTTGTTTTTTACTTACTACTTAAGTTTAATACTACTACTACTACTAATGTGGTTTATACATTTTTATACCCGAGCGCACTTGTGCACAAGGGTATTATAACTTTGTTCACATAACGGTTGTTTGTAACAGGCAAAACGAATCGAGATAGATATAGACAAATGTATACATAAATGATCAGAATGAAAAAAGAAATCGATTAAGCGGTGACTGTCTGTCCGTCCGTCCGTCCATCCGTCCGTCCGTCCGTCTGTCCGTCTGTGCACACGATAACTCGAGTAAAAATTAAGATATCTGAACGAAACTTGGCACGTGTACTTCGTTCGGGCGTAGGACGGATGGTATTGAAAATGGGCAAAATCGGACAATAACCACGCCTACCTCCCATATAACGGTAATTTTCAGAAATACGAAAACTGCGATATTTTAGTAACTACTGAAGATAATTCACTCAAAATTGATTCTTACAATGAGTTTCAGACGGAAAACATGAATATTATAAATTTTTGAAAAATGGGCGTAGCCACGCCCACTTAGTGTTACATGTGTATATCTTGGCAACCGCTGCACCGATTTCTTCCAAACTTGGCACAGTTGTTGGCCTTCACAAAACATACCAAACGGCTTAGAATTTAAAAAATGGGACAATAACCACATCCCATATAACGGTAATTTGGAGAAATACGAAATCTTCGATAAATCCGTAAATATTGAAGCTAATTTATTCAAAATTGATGCTTGCAACAATTCTTTATCAGGAAATACGCTTATCATAAAATTTTGGAAAATGGGCGTGGCACCGCCCACTTATGATCACATATATGTATCTCGGTAACCGTTCTACCAATTTGTACCAAACTCGGTATGGTTATTGTGCTTGCCACAAAAAAGCAAAACGTTCAAAATTATTGAAATCGGACTAAAATTACGGCTTTTCATATAACGGTAAATTTTAGAAATGCTCGAAACGTCAATATTTCGAAATTTAAGGACGCTAATTTATTCAAAATTGATACACCCCGGCTTACCATGTAGCTGAAGCTTTCGGAAAGGTGAAAAGGCATATTTATGTAATACTTGCGCCGGGTATTTAATGTTCGGCCCCGCCCGAACTTAGACTTTCTTACTTGTTAATAAATGCGTTTAAATATTTGTGATGGTATTTGTGATGTCCTTCCTTCAACCGTTCGTATGTAATATAAAAGGGAAATGTTTCGACAAGTCTGATTAGAAATATAGATTTAAGGTGACGAATTTATAACAGGTTGGGAACTATAAAAAATGGATGCAGATCGAACTAGATCTCATCTGCCGAATTAGGAACTGGTATGGAACTAAAGAAAAGGGGATGCAGAACGACCTAGATCTCATCTGTCGAATTTGGAACTGGTTCGGAACTAGAGCCAAAGGGATGCAACGGGGGACAATTGACACTTCCTAGGACATCGCAATGTTAAATTCGCCAGTCGCTAGCATGCAAAAGAGAATTAACACGTACTAGTCATGGTTCCAAACGCACTAGAACCGAACCAGTTCCGCACGCTTATAGTACGCCATAAATAAATGAGTTTGTAAAAGGGGGCGTTGCACATCCCATAGGCGTGGAATTTTTTATCAGATGAATTCACTATATATTACATGAAGTACGATATAGCTAAAAGTATGGCTCACAAGGGATTTAAAAAATGTATTCTGGACTTATATACATATAGATGTATTGCGTAGAGTATGCGTTAGACTTTAACGTATATATATTTATAGGTATAGCGTAGCGTATGCGAAATGTTCCACGGCCCCTATTTATCGGAGATAACATT